CCCTCATCTAACGACCAATCTAGACCAAACTTGGCACACAGAGCCCCCATGACCCACTCTACATCCTGCTGCAGTTTTGGAGGAGGGTTGACCATGGATTATGGGACTTGCAGTATGTTTACTCACTTACTGAAACCACTGTGACCCTAATCCAATGACTGATCAAGACCAAACTTAGCACACAGAGCCCCCATGACCCACTCTACATCTTGGTGCAGTTTAGAGGAGGACAGACCATGGATGATGGGACTTCAAGTACCTCCACTTCCTTCCCAAGATTGCTGCAACCCTCATCCATAGACCAATCTAGACCAAACTTGGCACACAGAGCCCCCATGACCCACTCTACATCCTGCTGCAGTTTGAAGGAGGATGGACTTTGGATGATGGGACTTGCATTACCTTCACTCACTTACTGAAACCACTACCACCCTCATCCAATGTCTGATAAAGACCAAACTTGGCACACAGAGCCCCCATGACCCACTCTATATCCTGCTGCTGTTTGGAGAAGGGTGGACCATGGATGATGGCACTTCAAGTACCTTCACTCACTTCCTGAAAACAATGCAACCATCATCCAATGACCAATAAAGACCAAACTTGGCATAGAGAACCACCATTACCCACTTTCTCTAATAACCCGGGTAGCGCCGGGTCCCCAAGCTAGTATCTAATGAAAATCTTTCATTTATATTTTAAATATATATGTTCTGTTACTTCACATAGATTCAGATGTTTCTTATTATGTTCATGTGACATACCTACACACTGCAGCCAACACAGTAACTTGTTGCAACACTCAGAGTTTGGAAAGCTCTGCTCTAAGCTTTTGGCTGATGGATTTCACTATAAAATGCCTTTCTGAGTTGGCTGGGGTTTGTCTATGATAAATCACAATCTGGTATTGTATCTGTCAAAAACGGTTTCTACTCTCAATGTTCAAGAGAAATCCATTTTATATGGATAAACTCCTTTTCAGTTTCTCTTGATCTTCTAAGAACAATTTCAGGTAATGATGAGTTTTCTTTTGCCTCCCCTTTAGTTTTCCTTCTTGATGACAGAAGCCGTGTTGGTTTTCTCTCCTGAGAGCTCCCTACTTCGGTCCTTCTCGCGTAAGGCCAGGGCCCGCTTCCACTGGGCTTTGCAGCTGCTTTCCCTGACCTGTGCAATACTGGGCTTGGCCATCATCTCCTATAACAAATACCTCAATGGGAAGGACCACTTTGTCACGTGGCACGGCCAGACGGGCTTGCTGACGGTGTTTTATGCTAGCATGCAGTGCATGGGCGGGGTTGCTCTGCTCTACCCCAAGCTGATGAAGAACTGGACATTGGGCAAACTGAAGCTTTACCATGCCACCTCAGGGCTGATTGGGTACCTGCTTGGTTGTGCCAGTTTGATGCTGGGCATGTCTTCCTTGTGGTTTACTGCAGCTGTGACTGGAGTCTCCTGGTATCTCTCCATCCTGTGTCCTATTCTCACCAGTTTGGTTGTCATGAACCAAGTGAGCAACGCCTACCTCTACCGCAAGAGAATTCAGCCTTGAAAAAAACATGCCTAAGAGATACTTTCTGATATCCTTGAAAACATCTCACATCCTCTTTTAGGGAGTCCCTTTTTATCTGACTATAACTGTGGCATTTTAGAAAAGACTTCTGGCGTCCTCCCACTGTTGAAATCCTGCAGCAGCAGTGTGGGAGTCCATGCAGTGTTCTGTGTGCATCTCCTGAAATTGTGGCATTGTGGTATTAAGTAGTAATCCAGAAGCAGTGTGCTACTGCCTCCCCATGAAAGGAAACAAATTACATAGACATCTCAGTTCACCAAACTTGCACAAAGACATACTTCACTTGCCCCAGATTCCTCTCTATTAGTAAAATGGTGGGCCCTCAGAGGTGGTGGTCTGAGGAATAGGTGGAAATGTGTAACTTTCTTTCTGTGTTCCCTTCAGTACAGTATCTGTCTGTGTAGAGGCTAGAAGTTTCCCCAGTTTCTGTTTTTAAGGTTCTGTGGACAAATTGCATCAAGTGGACAAAATCGTTAGCTGCATCAAGGCTCATTATGTAGTGTGTGGTAGACTAACACTACACTACAGGTGACACATATGTAGCTTTGGACATATTACTTTTTGTACCACAACATTAAAAAAAACCCCTCCATCCAGCAGAGCCAGTGGTCCTGCTGGCAAGGGCTGATGGTAGTGCTCTCCTGAATTGTTGTTTTTCTGTCCAAGATTTCTTTGGGCAGCTACATGAGAATAAGCCTCGCTGAATGGAGTGGGCCACACCTCCAACTAATCATGCATGCCTGAGGGTCTCCCTCATTGCAGGCAGGCTGACTGACACATACCCTGTCCATTGTGAGATTTCTCTGCTGTCCTGCAGCTTGGTAATTGTAATCTTTCATACTATGGTAAGAGCACAAGAGCTCATCTAGTTTGCTGCTGTTCATAATCAAGGGAGATTGTGACTCAATGATCATACCTACTCCTGGCCTTTCGGCGTGGAGAGAAAAATAAATGTTTCTGCTCTTTCTCTTCTAGATTTTATGAGAATTTTTTCCCTATATACTATGTGAATAGCAGCTTCATTGCACAGAAAGGCAAACAGAAGTGAACCAAGCACAAAGTTAGGCTGTTTTTGTCTGCTGCCATACTTTGACTAAACTTTTGCAACCATGAATAGCAGTATTTACTTAATAGGCAGTATGTTGCAGTCCCAAGCAGGTGGCATAGTATTCAAGTATGTTGCAGTCCCAAGCAGGTGGTATAGTATTCAAGTATGGACAGGAATATTTTCCGACACTGTTCCAGAATTCCTCTACATTCAAGAACATTTGGGTGCAACTTGGCATCCATGCTCGTGTGTATGGTCAGCACATGTATTACTCTAGGTACTTAATTCTGCAGTGAAGAGCTAGTTTTTTTTAAAGGAAAATTGAATTTCATAACATTCCCCAGGTAAATCATGCATTTGTACCTTCAAGTCATTTCCAATTCATGGCAGCTTTCTCATTGAATTTTCTTAGCAAAATTGGCTGCGAAGGGGTTAGCACAGGCCTGGGTTAGACTTTATCTTCCTCTGAAGCTGAGGGAATGTGACTTCAGCCAAGTTATTTCTGGGCTATGAATATCCTTATTGAATGGTACTGTCTCCCAAAGTTTTTCAGAGCAAGGGCCAGTCTCTGTTGTTTTTTCTTTCGGTAACAGCTTCAAAATGGTTTTCTCCACTCTCTGTATTTTTTCTATGCAGCATGTAAATGCAGGTGTGTGAAAGCTCCCACCAACTGTGTTTTGGGGAGTTGGTCAAAGCAGGTTGTCTGTTTTCCACTCATAATCATTCTGTCTTGAGAAATAAGGGAAATGAGCTGTTGTGAGGGACCAAAATGAACAAAGCTAAGGCCCTTTTTTTTAACAGGGGAGAAAAGAATGTGGTTGCGTAGAATTACTAACCTTCATCAAGCTGGTCATGACTACTCCATTGAATCCAGGTGACACAGTTAAACCTTGCTTTCAAACGTACTTAATTAAAATCAGCTTTGGTTGGATTAGGGCCTTTGACTGCAACCCTTTCTCTAAGAATGAAATCCTGTCCGCAGAATATTAAAGATACAGAGTGGAAGCCTCCTGCCTATAGCAAGATATTTTAGATCTTTTCCGAAGTATAGTGGGCACTGAGTGAGTTTATTATTTTTTTTTAAAGAATTACCTAGCATTAAAATGTCTTTTTTAAATGGTGTATATCTACGCAACATTATTTGCTTCCTCATAAATTTTGCCATGTAACGTGAAGTTGCAAGCTTTCCAAGCTTTAAAAGAAGGGCCCTTTGCCATTTTAAATGGTGATAAATTGTCCTCGGTTTCTTTGGTAGCTTGAGGGCAGCCTTCTCTTGGGCATCTACAATGTGTGTTCTAACTTGCCCTCTTCTCCTTCCCCCTACTTACCTGCATTAACCTGGTTGAAATAACTGTGGCTTCAGTAAGAGCTGTCATGGCCTTTCACACAAATACTGTTTACAGAAACTTCCTGCATTTGGCTATGTCTTAAGCTTCCTTGATAAAACAAATGAAAAACCCACTTGATGTTTGCATTGAGTATGAGGGGTCTCTCTGCATGGCAAGTGAACCGATCACTGAACCTGGGTAAGAAAAAATCTGACTTCAAGCGCACTGAATTAAAGGGAGCTTTGCTGTGTTGCTAGCTTGTTCATTTTCATTCTCTTCCGATCCACTTGCCATCATTGTTAGATGAGGGAGTTGTCTTAGCCCCAGCTGGAAAGTTTTGTTCAACATATTCCCTTCAAATTATTCAAAAATCCTGTCCTCCCTGCATCTCCATGCATACACACACTACTCATTAGGGCAACTTTGAGGACAGCATTTTGGAAAACCTTCCAATGGATACTTGGAAGCTATCAAGCAGTAATTGAACTTACTTTGGCTATGGGGATAGTGCCTGCTCATTAGACAGGGAATGTGCCCATTTAATCTGCTGAAACTCTTCTGCAGGTAAACAGACTGGCTATGTTTGATTGAGATGATAAAATATTAGGTGGATTCACAGCTGGTTCAAAAACCATAGCCATCATTTGCTCATCATTAACATTATGAATGCTTTTAAGTCAAGTGATGCATGGTTTTATCATGGGTTTTATACTTTTGACTTTGTTATATTGATTAAGATGAAGGTGTAGAGGAGACCATTTGACAGTTAAAACTCCAGAAGACAGCACTGAAAGAATGGGAGAAAAAACTAACTTAGTGAAATTCAACAGATACAAATGAAAAGCTCTGCAGTGGGATGTAAAATAAATATCAAATGCACCGGCATAATGTGTGGCAACAACACATGTGAAAAGGTTCTTTGGTTTGCAGTGCAAGTTAAACATTGATTGGCTGTTTGATGTAATTGAAAATGCAGATACAATTTAAGCCAGCAACCGTAGTAGTTCTACTTTACTTTGCACAAATTGGACTTCATCTGGTGTCCTGGGTGCTGGTTCTTTGATTGTGAACACAATTGGAAAAGGTTAGAGGAAGGCAACAAAAACAGCAGTGTGGAAAGCAAGTCCTTTGAGGAAAGGTTGAAAAACTGAGGATATTTTATCTAGAAAATAAGAGAATTCTCGACAATTGGCAGAAAGCAGTGATATAATTGTTTGGAGATTAGGAGAAATGTAGTGGGTGAGAGCAAATTGACAGTATTACATGAAAGGCTTCACATCATATAAATGGTTGCATTATGTGTGATCGGGACCATCTACCAAGAGGGATTTTTAAAAATATTGAGACAAATTCTTAATGGACAATCCTATCAATGGCTACTATTCATAGTGACTGCACACTAACTCTAGAAGTACATGCAGCAGGTTTGAAGGCCCTTTGCTGGAGATCAAAAATAGAACAGGACCACTGTCCTCTTGTTCTGTTTGTGGGGTTTGGGAACCATGGAAAACAGAATACTAAGATAACCCCTCGGTCTACTCCAGCAGGGAACTGGTATCCTTATAAGGTCTTCAGATAGAATCTGGACAACTCTCTAGTGGGAAGATTGTAGCTCAAGTTTTCTGCAGTGAGCAGAGATTTATACTATAAAAGACCTGAAAAGTTATTTCCAGTTCTGATTCTAGACTAACTTGAGACTGTTGTTCTTTGGCCATATTATGAGATGTGACTAGAAAATACAATTAATGTTTGACAAGGTATGTAAATGTCAACAGAAAGAAAAGAAGACTGGGGCCCCTTCCACACAGCTGAATAAAATCCCACATTATCTGCTTTGAAATTGAATAACATGGTAGTGTGGATTTAGATAACCTAGTTCAAAGCAGATATTGTGGGATTTTCTGCCTTGATATTCTGGGTTATATGGCTGTGTGGAAGGGCCCTAAATTCCAGATGAATAGACTGAGAAGAGCCATTGCCCCGAGTCTGTAAGACCTGAGCAGGGCTGCTGACCAAGTCACTTTGTCATCAACAGCCCTGCTCTCTCTCATTCATATAATTGTCATAGACTGAAACCATTGTAATAGCAACCCAACAAAAAGTATGTTCTATATTACTAAGAGATGGCACAAGAACAGGTAGAAAACCAATCAGGACAACTATACAGGGAAGCCTTTGGTGCATGCAAAATTCTCTACTGTCTGGTTTCTTCCAGGGGAGTGCAGATTATAAGTACCTGTCTCTACATGCTATTTCACTCATCACAATTAGAGGGGAGTCTGTAGCTGTTGTTTAATGCCACACAAATAACAAAGCACCCCATATATCAACTGATGTTTTGAAGAAGCAAAAGTAAACTGCCAGGAGATAACTGTTTTGAAGCTAGTGTTCAAACCTCTTCCCTCAAGACATACATACCCTATCTGATATTTTGCCCTGGATTTACCAACACAGCTATCACTAAGGAAACACTAAACAAAATAATGAGTACTGCTGATCCATAGCAGAATCTAGAATCCCTGCAGCTGAATGAGACCTTTAGAAAAGAAATTTCTATATGATTCATTCTCCCTAGTTGATATAGATTAAATTTCATCCAGAAGCAGAATTCTAAAATTGTATGGATAAGGACTTCTCACAAGATCCTCTCATCCTCTTCATAGCATTTCACCTAAGTACCTGCAAGCATGGCTACAGAAGACTTGAAAATTGGCCAGGACCCTCTCAAAATTTGTTAACAAGATGCCTCCTGAAACACCTGGATGCTACCAAAGAGACAAAGCATGTCCCTGCTTGCAAAGCCTGGCCACCCACTCAATATAAGGCCATGAACAAGTACACAACCAAAAGATAGTGCAGCTTTGTAGCACTGTAATACCTGCTACAATTATACCATGTTGGCAGTTTCCCACCATTGACTTATTCTTCGTTTGCTTTACTATTGTGCAGCCACTACTCTGTGAGAGCATTTACTTAACCTTTTGTTTGCTGAATTCTCTGGAACACATATAATAGCCATTGCCCATCAATCACTGTGATCCTTTGTCCACTATGTTTAGCCCTGTACTTCTCAGCGTCTCAAAAAGAGAGCTGTAGAGATTAAGAACTCGAAAGAAACAGACCACAAGTTTACTTATTCTCTATTCCACTACCCTCTGAGACAATAACCCATTTTTTCAACCTCCATTCTCTAGCTAATGATAAATCTGGACTTTTTGGAATTTAAACAGCCAAAGTGCACATGCTTCAATTTAGATCTTTTTCAGTCTGGTAACTTGCACTTAAATGTCTCACAGTTAAAACAGGAATGAATTCAACAGCTTATACTCAGTGGCTTGGGATCAGCTACAGCATCCTCCCGTTCAGCATAATCAGAATCCGGCCTAAACTGTTACTGTCACATTGCATTTATCTTTTCTGCTTATTCTCCTAAACCAAGCCACCTGCCATTCAGAAAGAGACTGGAATGGCTGGAATTCTTGACAGCTGCACAAACCTATTACATTTTAAAGAAATGTCTATTCAAGGACAATGATCAGAAACCTCTTTTAAAAAAATGAAGCAGAAATTATCCCCATGCAAGGCACCATCAAGCTCATCTGGCACTTCAGCAATCAGTCCTACTGTGCATAATTAGCAGACAGGCAATTAGATATACAGATACTTCATCCAAGATGACATTTTGGTACAAAAATCCCACAAAAAAACACTTAGCATTAAAGAGGAAAGGGGAGCATGACGCAAGAGTATTTCATTGCATAACTGTAGCACCATTCTTTCTCTTTAAATCATTAACCTACTAAAGAACTTCGTGAACACATCATATTCAGCAATTACTGTATACAATTAGTTCTCACCATAGTAATGTTCTATTTAGGATTGTTAGAAAGTGGTGCTGTATGAAGCAGTTTTCAACAGACGTGCCCATTAAGCAAAAACCTACTTTGTTCTGCAACTAGTGTCAGATTATTCACCTCCTGGTACGCCATATATGGGAGTCACCCTGGGACTTGGTTGGAAGAGACCTCAGGAAAACCCTCACTCAGCCTCAAAGCTGCCTGGGAGAACCTGGGGAAGTCAGTATATGTCATCCCATTCTGCTTTTTAGGGCTTCTGTCAAGATGAAATGAGGCGAAGAAAACACAATTTAGATTAAACCCTGGTAAAATGTCATAAGCATGAGCTACATGTCTGAAAAGCAGTTGTTTAATCTTCAAAAATCAAAATTTTACCAGTGTGTGTCAGCAGATCTAATTACTTCCCTGCTATGTGTTCCCCGTTTCCCTCTTGAGTCTTTTTCGGCATGAACCTGGACTGAAAGAAATGGTTGCTTTTTAAAATGGTTTGTCATTTTTAAACTTTTGTATTGTGTAAATCTTTAACAATTAAAAAAAGCTATTGTAAGTCATCTTGACTCCTAACATTTTTCACTCTGTTGGCTGTAATTAAAAGTTTGAGCCAACAACCAACTCCAAGTAAGAGTTTATATGATCAAGGCAAGGAAGGTCTGAAAAGTCAATGAAGAAGCACCTTTTGAAAGAACTGTTTATTGATACTGAAATTTGTGTGTTTATTTCCTGGTTGACACAAACCTTCTCATGTGGTCCTTTAAAAAAAATATCACAACATTGTCTCACACTTTTCCAATTCTGTTAAGTGTCCCCTAACCCCATTCTCTACGTGGGAGGATTATGTCCTTTGAGGCTCGTCTCAGGGTACTACATATTTAGGGCTTGCTGCCCTACCAAAAAAAAAAGGCTACCTCAGTCCAAAGTAGAGAAAGAAGCTAATGGTCTAAACAAAAGAAAAATGAGGCAACAGAGGAATTGTCAAGAGTCCCATAAAAAAGCACCTTGAAAAACAGAACAGAACCACTAGCAAAAAATTAATCCCAATAGTCCCTGAATACAATGGTACTCCACCAAAGACAGAGGCTACTGTGCCATTTTAATCACTGCAAAATGAAATGAAGAAAAACCAATAGCTAAAGCACAAATAAAATTTCCTATAGGAGATCCTATGGAAAGTCTCAGAAGATGCTTCTTCACATGGTTGTTGCTATACTACAAGCAAGCTGCTCAGAATCACTAAACCCCTTCTTTTAACATCAAAAAGGAGGTAGACCTGAGTGGTCATATTGTTATTAAAAGGCTTTTAACTGCGGGTCCTTCTGGAGTCTAATGCAGCAGCTTGTTGTGGCAAGGCTCACCAGAGTTACCATATCTATGTAAAGGAAGGAAGGTTAATACCACAAAGTGCTTGCTCATTTAATCAATAACAAAACCAACTCTAGAAGGAAATAAGGGAAGCTGTGATTTGACAAACATTGTCGCTAAGTCAAAAGTTAATCAAGAGGAAAAGTGCCACAAATCACTTGCTGAGCTTATTCTGCCATAATCTGGTAAAGTTCATATAGTTTGGCATTAAACTTCAAAAGAGTGAGGGAACTCACCAGGCTGAGCAGTACAGGACCCTAAACAGATTAATCAGAAATGTCGCCAAAAGGAGCCAGACACAAGCACACGTCTTAATAGCCACAATGGCAACTACCAGTCAGCCTGGTTTTGCAGAGTTTTTTTATTCAGCTTGATGCTCTTTACTGAATTAAGGAGATGTGGATCTCCCTTTTTGCCTTCCAATTCTGAAACAAATTATCAGTTTCAAGCACCCCTCTGAAGAGAAGAAACATAATTCCAGGTCTGTGTGACTTAACAGTTTCCACCCCAAGAGTCCTGAGACCTGGGCTTGGCCACATGTGGCTAATAAATGCTGGAAGGGAGGAGGGTGCCTCTCTGGGTCAGTAGGCATAGTGTTTTGTTCCCTGCAGAGCAGGCAGTGCTGTGAGGGAGGGCACATGAGGGATCATTAGCAGCTCTGACATACAGGGGCAGGCAGAGAAAAGAGCAGGTGGGTCATGGTCACAATTGTGAAGGGGCATCCTCAAAAGTTATGAGACTGGATTCCTGGCTGGCTGCTTTTCCTGCTGTGAGAGTGTCCCGGCTCTTCTCTGGTAGCAATGGATCATCGGCCTTCATGCTGTCTTCATCTTCATCCTCTTCCATGCTAGGCCATGCTGACTGATCTTCCACACGCTTCAAACGTTCATTCAGAGCCTTCAGCGCCAATTGTCTATGGAATGAGAAAAGCATTCAAGGTCAATGCAGGTTAATTCGATGTGCTGCATTTCAAGGAAGAGGAGTCTTCTAGTACTAGCCATCAAAAGCATCCATATCTATCTATGGATGAGAGGGACAAACCATGACTCAAACATCAAAGATTAATTTTTTACCTGTCCACCCCCATCTCATGCAACTTATGTAGAAAACAAACTCTGGTTAATTCATTTTAATGCATTGTACAGTTGCCTACACCATATCAGAATTAAATGCTGTCATTTTATTTTATGTTCAGTACTGTCTGAAATGTGTCGACCATTCAGGCATTTAGAGATTAAACTTCATAACATTCAAAGCAATGTGAAGATAATAAACTACTTTCTTGTACAAGAATAATTGTATTTATGTGATGGATATTTCACATAAACACACAGTAATAAAGGGAATAGATCAATAGATAGAGAGATGGATGGATGGATGAAGGTAAAAGAGAGAAGAAATCCATGAAAGAAAGTTACAGGGAAGTTGGGGAACAGTATTAGGGCAAATTAAAAAATATGTGTTATTGAGAGCCACCATGGTATAGTGAATGGCTTGAGTGTTGGACTCTGTCTCTGGATTCCAGTTCCCTGCTTGGCCATGGGAACCCACTCTCAGCCCCAGAAAAATCCATGACAGAGTTGCCATAAATTTGAAAAATCTTGAAGGCACCTAACAACAGGATATGATTAACCCCACATGTCCTATTTTGCACAGTAGATGGGCAGTTACTTCAACACAGCCTGCAGCTGTAAAATTGTTCATTTTAGACTGCTGTGTTAGTGCACACATGCTTTTTATTTCATGTTCTGCTTCAGGAAATGTGATAATCTTTCTCATTCAGGCATGGGGCCAAGCACTCCACCTTTGCAATTGTTCATTCTAGAGCTGGGCTCAGGCCATCCAAAGCAGCTTTAATATATGTCTAATAGATTTCCATACCCAGTCAACTTGACATAAATACAGTTATTTGCATCTCTACTTCACTATCTTTAAAATTTCTCCTTTTCAAATCTTTCCTACCTGTGATATGAACATTTGTTTGATAGAGATGTGACTCAAACAGGCCTTCAGACATTGGACTGCCACTCCCAGCAGCCCAATTAGCGCAGCCAATGGTGAGTAATGCTAAACATTATAGTTTAGAAATAACTAGAGAGTTCAATGATTCCCCAACACATGCAAGGAAACAAAATAGGAAAAAATGGGTTTGACAGAAATGCTCTTGGAGGCTTACTGAAGTTCACAGGATTAAAGCCAATCCCAATGTCTCCATGATGGACACTCATTATGCTCGGCTACTGGTTGTTGTATGATGCATTATGTTTTTAATTATGTTTCTATGATGTTGTATATATATTTTTATTGTGTAATATTTTGACTCTGTCCGACTGGGCTTGATCCCCATGTAAGCCGCCTTGAGTCCCTTCGGGGAGATGGTGGCGGGATACAAAAATACAGTTATAATAATAATAACGAATAACATTTAGAAATTGAACAGCCTCTTTTTCTACTATTAAAACAGTGTTTGAGATTTGTGTTCCAAACTGATCAGCTAACATCCCCTAAACTAAGGGCAAATAAAAGGCCACTTTTAATAGGCTCTTTCTTGTTATATCTTTCAAACAAGCAATAAGGATTTTCAATCCCTTCATTAAGCAGAATAGTTCTTTACAATCAAGTGACCATCATTTAGCCCTTCTAAATGTTCTGCACAAAGAAATCCCAAATGGTATTCCTTTTTATGATAACATTGTTTATACAGATTGAAATTTACCTACCTGTAGAACCTTTCCGCACTAAAAAGGGTGTACGAGGAACCTTCCATTCCAAGAATTTTGTATCAAATCTAAACCATAAAGGGAAATATCTGCTAAACTGCTAGTATGCACATGGACATCCAGCGGAAACAAGGTTTCATTTGTGCCAAGGAGAACTCCAAGCAAGAACAGACAATGTCCTAGTGGGCAGGATACACCTAATCTGCAAAGAGCTGCACAGCAGTGGTGGTTAACCGGATCTGATTTCACTGAGGCGCTATGTTTGTTCTATGTTGTTTGTTAATTGTTGTGGATTGATGTGTTGATCCTGTTGTTACATTGTTGTGTTTTTAATTGCACTGACATTGTTGTGATAATTTTGTACCATGTAAACCGCATTGAGTCGCCTGTTTGGGCTGAAAAATGCGGTATAGAAATAAAGCAAATAAAATAAATAAATAAATAAATAATGCCACAAGGTTTTGGCTGTCACCATTATTTCTGCTAACACTCAGCAGTAGTGGTGACACGTCTCTATGCTACTGGAGGGAGCCAGAGCACCATAAATGTCCCTCTAGTGTGCTGCACAGAACATCTTCATCTCTTCTTTCCACTATTGAAATCCTGTAAACATCACTGATTTGACTGTCAAGTTTGGGCTGCAAAAACCACCTTGCAATGAGGCATGTAGGCTGTCAGCTGAAGCAAACTTTAGCTGTTTAAACAGCATTGGATACATACATTAGCCTTCCTGCACATAAAGCTGGGACAAACATCTCAAGGTTAACAGTAGACAGTTTGTCCAAAGCTTATCTACAGAAAGTGCTAAAAGATGATCAAGGGAGAATTTCAATACTTTAAGGGATACTATCAAAATCACTTATTTTAACCTAATCTTATGAAAAATATAGGACTGAATTTGTTTGATAATTTTACACAGTCAAGACACATAATGCTTATTTATAATGTTGATGAAACATGGAGATTAACTGCCCAGCAATTAATCTCAATATTTTGATTTGCTCCATGTTGGAGCACAGCTGCTCCTTCGTATCCATGGATCCAATCATCTACATCTGCACACTTTCTATTTTTATCAGTTTTATACTAATTTATGCAATGCTTTTGATACAAAATAAACAAATCATCTACATCTAAAAATATTTCATTAAAAAATCTTAAAAGCAAACCTTTATTTTGCTATTAAATATTGCATACACTCAAGTCTCATTTTATATCTGGACCTGGGCATCCATGGAACTAAACCCCAGTGGCTATTAAGGACTTATTGTACTATGGCCATATGGTGCTAACATTTTTAAAAAGACATGTTATTACATATTACATATACTCTCTTTTATCCTGAATCCATGAGGTATGAAGCTAATTTACAGCAAACCTAAATACACTAAAATTGAAGCTTTTTTGTATGTGTGCCTTTGAGTTGCCTGTCAATTTATGACAACCCCAAGAGTTTCATAACGTTTTCTTAAGCAAGGAAAACTCAAGAGGTGGCTTTGCTAGTTCTCCCTTCTGAAATAAAGCCTACAGCACCTGGTATTCATTAGTCTCACATCTAAGTACTAATCAGGATTGATTTGCTTAGTTTCCAAGATCAGATGGAATCTGGTGCCTTTAGAACAGTATTTCTCAAATTGTGAGCCTCCGGGTTTTTTGGACTTCATCTCTTACCAGCTGTTAGGAATTGTGGGACCTGAAGTCCAAAACATCTGGGGGAGCATAGTTTGAGAAACTCTGCTTCAGAATATTTAGGCTGATGCTATACCCAAAGAAAGACACAAATTTAAGTGGGCCTGGTAGTCGGATCATTGCCCTGCCTTAGTTTAAGGGTATGAATTATGTGGCCTTGCAGATACTATTGCATTGGAAGATGTTGATGGATTGGAACTCCCAGAATTCCTTAGCATTAGCTATGCCAGCCAGGGGTGCTGAGGTTTGCAGTCCAACATCCAAAGGTCTGCACTTTGGCCAGTTCTGCTCAAGATAATGAAGAAGTCTGAATGTATTACCTACAGCTGTACTGGGAAGCTAACTATAATAATAATTACAAGAAAAAGCCCTTTTCTTCATTTGATGTCCAAACTCAACCAAGCTGTAGAATCATGAGACAGCATTGAGTAAGACTTCACTGAACAAAATGAGATTTGTAACTCTAAGTAAATATGTGCTATATCGAGAAGTAAAGATCTCCACTTTGACTAAGTGTATATAATATAATATAATCTCATTTTACTAAATCCAGAAGTGCTGTCCACAGGATGGATGGCTTATAATTTTTCTGGGTTCACAAACTTCTGCAGTCAGCCCTTCATTTTTGTGGGTTTAACAAGACTTGCTTATTTGTGGATTTGATTAATATGTTACCTTTAGGAACCTCTACATCAGTGGTTCTCAAATCTGTGGGTCCCCAGGTGTTTTGACCTACAATTCCCAGAAATCCCAGCCAGTTTACCAGCTGTTAGGATTTCTGGGAAGGCCAAAACATCTGGGGACCCACAGGTTGAGAACCACTGCTTTAGGTCATCTAGTGTGACTCTATGATCATTTTCCAGTGGAGGCTGATCATAGAATCATGCTAGAGGACCTAAATTCCTAAAAAGGCAATCTATCAGATCAAAAAAATTTTTTTAATGTGTAGTGTTTCCAATTTTGCAGGTGTCCTGTGCCGCTAACCTCCACAAAAGTGGAGCGTCTTCTGCAAACTGCATGGTTATCCCAATTCTATAGTTTCATTCTTCACAACAAGACAGAATTATTTTCAGAGGTAATGTCTTGGGTAGTTGCTGCTTTTTCATCACTGTGCAATAAATAAAAGACAATCTCCAAGGTTGCTGTTTCTAACCTGATTGCATGCACACATCTAAGGCTGGATCTACACTGCCCTATATCCCAGGATCTGATCCCAGATTATCTGCTCTGAACTGGATTATATGAGTCAAGCAGATAATGGATTTCACATGGCAGTGTAGAATGGGCCTAAAGCAACATGAAATAACATGAAGTATTCCAAGCTGGCTATTTTTAAAATTATGCCCTTGACTTTGATACTTTTGTAAGACCATGAATACACACACAGATAAACTGAAGAATAAATTGAAAATCTGTATACATAGTTATAACATTTGCAGGATTCTGCAAATAAAATGATCTTGGATGAGAGCCTGCAATCAAATGAGGGCCTCCTCCCATATCCTTCTTGCCATCTCCCAATGTGACCACACATAATCTTCAAGTAGTTTGGTTTCCCCCCGAATAAACCTTACCTCCTCCGTTCAGCATCCTGAGGGTCTGTTCCTGGCAAGCTGATAGTAATTGAGGAAGGGGCACCAACGTCATACCGTTTCACTGTTTTCCGGCAGACTTTCACTTTGACCAAGAGACTGTGCACCAGATTGGCCAACAGCCCAACCACAGGCTGCAGGATCTCAGGGAAGAACGTGGCGAATGCAAAGTGATCTGACATGTCGCCGCGTCCTCTGCTGTGCCTCTGGTAGAAGCGCAGGTAGACCCAACTGGAGAGGACCCCAAAGCCATAGGAGGCCAAGACGTTGCTTGCAATAAGGGTGGTCAGCCTCAGAACGGCCAGGAGCAAGAGCAAGAGCATGGGCACCACCTTCATCCGCACCTGGGGGATCTTCAAGACAGTCCGGTCGCCCATGGTTTGCTTGAGGGCCACCAAGACGCCACCCAGGAAGCCCAGCATGCCGTGGATGCGGACGGTGAACAGGTAGGAGAGGTCGAAGAGCGCCACGTAGGAGAGCAGGTAGGCCAGGGCGCCCAGGAGCCCTACGGAGATGTTGACGACGGCGAAGAAGATGAGCAGCTCCAGGGCTCCCCAGAGGGGCTCCAGCAGCCGCCCTGCTGCCACCACCGTGGCCAGGCTCAGGCCCACGTCCCAGAGGTGCGTCTCCGTCACGCAGTGGGTGGCCAGCGTCCAGACCCAGAAGTTGGGCGGGAAGAGGAAGCCGGGAGTGACCCCCAGGGCGAAGACGGTGTCGACCGCGAAGGAGAGCAGGTACAGCAGCAGCACCACGGCGCAGATGGACTTCACCACCACGCTGGTGCTGGCCAGGGCGGCCAGGAAGTGCTGCCGGGCCACGGGCAGGTACCGCTTCATGCTGGGCAGGAGGGGAGCAGGGGCGGAGGGGACACGCAGGCCCGGGCCTCTCCTCAGCGCAGCCTCGGCCCCATGGCCGCCTCCGCCTGCTCCTTCCACGGGCCGCCAAGCCCTCCTCAGCCAGGCCGAGCCCTAGAGCAGACCAGGCGGCTTTTCCGCCTTCACCGCGCCGGGAAGAGGCCCAGGAAGCGCCTTCTCTGCCACAGCCCCATCCAGGGTTGCCAAGGAAGGCCTTCCCTTCGGCCTCCTCCGCCGGAAGTTGAAGCTGCCCCCGCCCACGGCCCTTTCCTCACTTGCTGCTACTGATGTCGCCACTTCCTCTCAAACGCAAACAAACAGCGGAGCCGCGCATGCGCGAGACCCCTTAGCCGCGCATGCTCGGTGGGAAATCGGAGGCCCCGGGAAGTCAGGGCTAGAAATCCCAGCATGCATCGGGAAGGAAGCGTTGCAGTGCGTTGGGGGCACCCAAGGGAATCGAAGTTGGGGTGGAAGGAGGAGGAGGAGACTGAAGGGCGTGGCCTTCGGTGCCTGATTGGCTCCCCGGTCGGTTTGTGGGCGGGGCCAAGGCAGTTGTTGAGCCCCCTCGAGGCAGGGCAGTGTTAGAGGCATCCTCTCAGGAGTAGTTCCCATTGAGTCCAGTGAGAGTTGAATTCTAGGCCAGGCACGGGCAAACTTGGGCCCTCCAGGTGTTTTGGACTTCAACTCCCACCATTTCTAACAGCCTCAGGCCCTTTCCTTTTCTCCTCCGCTTAAGCGGCTGAGGGGGAAAAGGAAGGGGCCTGAGGCTGTTAGAAATGGTGGGAGTTGAAGTCCAAAACACCTGGAGGGCCCAAGTTTGCCCTTACCTGTTCTAACCAGTGAGCTTGCCTAAAAAAGATTATTTATTTATTTGGGAAATGCCTCTATCGCCTTTCTGCGAAGATTCAAGGCGGCTTACAACAGCAGTTCAACATAAATATCCAATAAACCATTATAAAAGGTAGGAAATCCCCCTTAGTCTTGGTCCAAGGTAAAAATTATCATTAAATAAATCAATTTAAAATTCCCAAGAAGATAAAATATGATTAAAATGCAGCTCTTGGGCTTCTATTTACAGGTAGACAATTAAACAAATTCCTCACAGGCAATCTACATATGGGTTGTTGTAGGACCTCACAAGCTTTTTTTGTCGTGTCAGGAGTGACTTGAGAAACTGCAAGTCACTTCTGGTGTGAGAGAATTGGCTGTCTGCAGGGACGTTGCCCAGGGGACGCCAGGATGATTTGATGTTTTTATCATCCTTGTGGGAGGCTTCTCTCATGTCCCCGCATGAGGAGCTGAAGTTGATAGAGGGAGTTCATCCGCCTCTCCTCGGATTCAAACCTGTGACCTGTCAGTCTTCAGTCCTCCCGACACAGGGGTTTAACCTACTGCGCCACCGGGGGTTCCATATGTTTAAATAATAGTAATAATAATATCTACTTTGCTTTTTGGTGGCGCAGTGAGTTAAACCACTGAGCTGCTGAACTTGCTGACCGAAAGGTTGACGGTTCAAATCCTGGGAGCGAGGTCCGCTCCTGCTGTTAGCCCCAGCTTTTGCCAATCTACCAGTTCGAAAACATGCAAATGTGAGTAGATCAATAGGTACCGCTTCAGCGGGAAGGTGATGACGCTCCATGCAGTTATGCCGGCCACATGACCTTAGAGACATCTGCGGACAACGCTGGCTCTTCAGCTTAGAAATGGAGATGAGCACCACCCCCAGAGTCAGACATGACTAGACTTCATGTCAAGGGGAAACCTTTACCTTTTACTTTGCTTTTCTTGTAGGACTGACGCCCAAATTATATGAGGAAGACATTGTAATAGATCAAGATTTCCCATCCCTTATTAATTATTATCAATGGAGGGGACATGGTTTTAAAAAGGGAATTTTCATATATTTCCCCTATGCCCATATGTCATGATTTACTGCCATATTGGCCTATTTCTGCAGTAGGCCTTTGTTCACAGAAAATGCTGATTGTTTGAGAAATCAGTGCTCCAAAGAAGAAGTTACTATTCAAGGGTAACAACATATCTGGACAAAACCAGCAAGCTGTTTGCTAGATAGAACCCCCAAGTTTCCCAGTCGCTCTGAAGCCATGTTTGCAACAGACTAACAGATAAGATACAGTCAGAGAACAATGGACTATAGTTATGTTATAGCTGTGCCATTGTTAGGATCCCACGTGTGCTATAATGTCAATCAAAATCATAAACAACTAATGAACAACTGCATAGCTAACTTAGACCAATGAAATGATTTGTCTTTGGGAACCAATGAGATGATTGATTTCTATGTACCAATCAAACTGTTTTAATGAAAGTCATAAATAATCAATGCAACCAACTTTAGGTTGGACAAACCCCTTTATTGCATTCCTATATGCATGTTTGTCACTATTGCTTCAGCTGCGCAATAAATAGCATTTTGCAGTTTTAAAGATTCAACTTTCGTGGTGTCCTTCCTCGCCCTCCTTGAGAAGGGGCAATCTGCTCTTGGATTTTGGATTTGTGGATTATCATTTTGGTTTTTGCCCCTACATTTTCTGGAGGTTCCACCGAGATATTGCATATTTGAGGGCGTTCTTTTTGGAAGGCACTAGACGAGAGAGGCATTTGGGGCCTCCGGCTCAGGTGCTTATCTCTTGGCGGCAAGAGAAGAGAAGGAGTCATCTGCGTGTGTGCTTGGGCCCAGCCGCCAGATTCTCTGTCTTTTGACTTGCCGCCCAAGAGTGGCCGAGCCCGGTTGAATTGCTGCAAAAGCTTCGGGGAGGGTAGGTATGAGATGAATTGAGTTTGTTGAAGCTATGAGATGAATTGAATTGGTGATTTTGTTGAGACCACACTCGTATAGTTAGCGGGAAGTTTCTATTAGCTGCAGTAAAAAAACATCCTTTGGACTGGAGTGTGGGGGAGAGTGAAATCGGATGCTCTGACTTCACTTCCCAGGGAAAACAAACTTTTAGTACTGGCTGGAGAAAAGCCAGACGAAATCCTATAGGAACGTGGGGTGAATGGCCACTTGTGTGTGCGTTTCCATGTGCGCAAGGCTGTCTTGTCTTCACACCACCTGTCTATATGTCTTGTTTCCACACTTATGTGGGGGGGATTTAAGATTGATGTGATGTCGAGTTAAAAAAATGACAAACTGCCTATGCTGATGTTGATGTCTTAAACTTTTGTGTTGAAATGTATTGCAAATGCTGAGATTTCAAATTCATCTGTACTGATTTCAATGTTATTGCAAACTGTTAAATTGTGTTGAGCTGCTGATTTAGTTGCAAAGGTCCTGTGTTGAATCTTGAGTGTGCATTCTGAGGCTGGAGAGGGCTTTGCCTCAGTGATTCTGGAAAGGAAAGAATGAGAGAAGCTGTTTTGATGTTGTGTTGTGTGATTTGAATTTTCTGCAAAAACTTTGGATTCTAGTCACCTTTTTGAAAGGGAGAAATAGTATTTGTGTTTGCTTGAGTCAAAGGTGACAGGAGCAGTGAGAATTTATAAAAGGCATGATTCTTGTATTTTTAGCCCTCTGTAGCTTCCACAAGCTCCAAAGTGGCTTCTGTTGCACAGTAGCACTGGCTTCCTTTTACCATCAAAACCCCAAGGAAGTCACCTACAGACGCAGTCAGTCAGTATGGGACTTTGGACTAGAGCTGTGTGGGAGAGTGAACAGATGCCTCTGAAGAATCAATTCCCGACTTGAGAAAAAGATTTGAGAAAATTATGCAAGATACTCCCTGGGAATTGTCAATTGTATGAAATTCCCTGGAAACTCGGTTCTGTGAGACCTTGTGTTGTTGGAGGTATTTGTGATGTGCACATGTGATCTTGAGTGAGTGGCAGCAAAGATTATCTATGTGTTGTAACACTGGGTTGAGATTTGTGCAAGCACCGCTGTGTAAAAGAATGAGTACCTTATTTAGTTTTCCAAAAGTGCTGAATGAAAAGATTTTAAAGAGAAACTGAGAACTGTTTTGTGTGGATGGATTATTGTTGTTTCAAATGAGGACTCGTTGTTTAAGTGCTTGGAAGAAGATAGGAATGTGGAATACAATGATGTGTCAAAAGAGAGCTTTGTGTCCTGAATTTTGGCATGGAAAAAATATAAAAAAGTAAGACTGCCTGAAAAGTTGGCAGGTGATTTGGCTATTTTGACCTTGTATGTGTGCCTAAATGATACGGGACTGAGTTTGAAATTCTGTATATTGCATTGATGAAATGAAGGCTGGGAATGAGAGACACTCAGACATGTTGAGTTGAAAAGTAAATATAGAATGTTAATTGTGGGAAATGAATTTACGTTCGAAATGTGTCTTTTTGATATTTAGCAACACACCCCTAATGCTGCAATTTGAAAAGCTGTGTTCTTAAAATGTAAGAAGAATGTGTATTATGACAAAATGGGTGATCTTTAAAAGTTTGATGTTTTCAATAATTGTTTTGAATTTTTATGTTTATGCGGAAGCTGACCTTGGGAAGCTTGTTTGTGTGCGTGCGTGTGAACGAGGTTTCTCTCTTTGTGTGTGAATGTGTAAAAGGGCCTAACCACTAATCACTAACCAGCTGTGTGTGTGTGAATTTGGAGAATGAATATTATGCGATGTGACATTTTCTGAAATGGTTAAAATCCTGATTTGTTCTGTGTCTATGGGGAAAAATGAGTCTTGCATTATGAATATGTATCTTTTGAAAACATGAAAAATTGCCCGTATGGGCTGTATAAATAACTGTGTGGAAAAAAAAGAGAGCAAAAACCTGATGTCAAGGGTTTTTGTGTCAAGGGTCGTGACTGGCCGAAAGAGCTTTTCAAGCACTGAAAGAGGCCAGGGCACATCAAAATGAAAATTTGAAGACTGATAGAAACTCATTGTCTGTGTTAAAAATGTTTAAAAGCAGGCTGTTTAAGAACTGTTAGAAACTGATGTTTTACAATGCCCTGAATGTACAGTATGTTATGGAGATAAGAACTTAGATTGGTACCAGCCAGGATGGGATCAAATGAAATGGATTGACTGTGTTTTAAGAGTGCATTTTTAAAACTGAAGTTCTAACTTTATTTTTTGCTCAAGAACATGGAAATAATTCTTATGTTTAAAGCAACTGTATGTCATGAGAGAGTGAAATCATGTGCCGGAGTTTTAAAATGTTTTTTTAAGAGCTGTTTTAAAATGGATGCTATGTGGAGGGCTCTCGCTTCACAGAGCCAGAAGAGAGATAACTGAAAAGAACATGGTGTTCTCTTGCCATTCTCTGGCAGAAGAGAGAACAATGGTTATGAATGGTACATTTTAAAAGTATCTAATACCGTTTTGGATTTTTTGTGTTCAAATTTATGAATGCTTACCAGAGCTCCTTGTAGCTTTCTGGTTCAAAGGGGAAAATGCTTCATTTTGCCCTCCCTTCTCTATGAACTGCTGATGGACATTAACTCCTTGCAGGTTGGGACATTTTTAGGCTTGTGCCGAAAGAGGAAAGTTACATATGTGTGTGGACCAAGTTTAAAGTTTGTAAGTTTTTCAGGCTGAATGGCCATGTTCCAGAAGCATTATTTCCTGATGTTTTGCCTGCATCTATGGCAGGTATCCTCAAGTTGCCCCGGTGGCACAATGGGTTAAACCCCTGTGCCGGCAGGACTGAGGACCGACAGGTTGCAGGTTCGAGTCCGGGGAGAGGCGGATGGGCTCCCTTTGTCAACACCAGCTCCCCATTGCGGGGACATAGGGGAGGCCTCCCACAGGGATGATAAAAAAACATCAAATCGTCCAGGCGTCCCCTGGGCAACGACCTTGCAGACAGCCAATTCTCTCACACCAGAAGCGACTTGCAGTTTCTCAAGTCGTTCCTGACAAAAGTTTTATTTTGTTTCCCAGCAACCTTTCTTGGAAAGAGGCACAGGATTTGTGTCGAAAATTGTTTTGTGCCAGAAAGTTTTTGATTAGAGAGTCTGATTTTGTC